ACACACACACACACACACACACACACACACACACACACACACACACAAGGGAACTGTGGCGATGTATCTCTCCTTTTCCACAGGAGGAAGAAGAAGGAGAATATGAGGAGGAGGACACGGGCCAGAAAATGACAAACCCAGATGTCAGTGAGAAGATTTTAAGGATTTTTGATCTTAACCCGATTGGTCGGAGCGGTTTATTTCCTCCCTCCAGTGCTACAACAAGAGGGCCGATGTTATGTAACAACCTGACATGTAATCGTCTTGCGTTTGTTTCCGAACAATCAAACAGATTCCACCTTATTGTATCCTAAAACAACTGCTGTTCTTTAAAAAACAAAGTGTTTACCGATTGGATGATCCTCCCTCCTCAGCTGCTCCTCTTTCTGGGTGGTGCCCACGTGGTGGTCCTGTCCCCCCCCTCTCCACACTCCCCCTGTAAAGACATAAAACACTGACCTTAAAATAAAGTGTACAAAATACAACAAAAAAACACAAGGCTATATATTATTTAAGCTATAAATGATACAACTCAAGTCATTATTATGAAATGCTATTTAATATTGTTAATTCATTATAGAATTGTTCATTTTAAAACATCCTTTGTCAAAAGTCTTATTATTTCTGAATGGCCTTTTGCCCCACTTTTATTTTCTTGATGTTGCTTTTCATAAAGCTGGAGCTGTCATAAGTGCCCGCCCCCTCAGCCAAAATTAGCCAGTTAGCTCCTGTTAGCTACAGCAAAAACAACATCAAAGTAATTCTGAATCTACCAGGTACCTGCTGCTGTAAATACACACAGTATACACGCTTACAATATACTTAAATTCTCCTTTTATTTCTCTCAATAGGGCGTTGCACGCTACCTAGCTAACAAGCTAACTAGCTGGGTTGGCTTGTGAGCTTAGCGCGAGTGTTAGCAGCTGTAGCTAGCTGGTTAGTTCAGTGATGTGATTCTTAGCATTTTCTCATACCAAACCATAAAAACTACATTTTCAAAAAGGGCACTTTGAAGTAAAAAGGAACGGAAGACATTGTGAAGAATATATGATGAATAATGTTTTTTCAATGTATTAACGTCTATGTTTAAATATAGTTAATGATGTGATTATCATTAATAATTTAAGTGCAACTTCACCACCAGGTCTGAGCTTGAGTCCGCCCACTGCATAATGTTGAAAGATGGGAAAAAACCTGCTTAAGGGTCTGAGAGATAAAACCAAACCCACTTCCGTATGACGAAAGCCTCGACAGACATGAGAGCCAGAGCTAATTAAGGGGCCAACTAGCCAGCCGCTCAATGAGCTGTGCTGTGATTGTAAAGCTTCACAGTGGTTACAAATAAAGTAAAACGCATAGCGGCATGGGGGAGGGCCGAGGACGGGGGTCTGATTAGTATTGATTCATTTCATGACTTTTATTAGTTTTATTAGTCCCAACACTTCAAATCTATCTCAGAATTGACCGGGCAGGATTAAGGCTGCTTCAAGGCAGTAGATGGCATTTTGAGCCATTTTCAAGCATAAATGCAGATGTTTATAAATTTGGTAAGAAATACCAATATTAACACTGGCATGGATGCATTTCATCTCAGTGCATTTACATCATTTAGTTTATAGCTTAAAAAACATGCTCAAGTGTGCAGTTACTCTTTATATGTCCATCAGAAGCAGTTGTTTGAAATAGTTGAAGGGTCTCTCATGTGATCTGTTGCAGAGAGGTATGAAGAGTAGCGTGGTGCGACGACAATGTACATACAGCGGCGACAAGATTCACACATGAGCGCGGCTCCGCACGGCCTGTTTCACAAGCGCGCACACGCACACACACACACACACACAATCTACAAAGTCTCCCATGTACCCCCTTTTGCTCTCTCTAAATGCCTGTCGCCTTGGCCCTCCATTAAGCCGAGCGAGCGCTCGTTTAGCCAGTGTCTTGGCAGTCGGGGGACGCGGGGCTGCCCACTCAGTCAGATCCAGCCGTATTAAATAAATAAGGAGCGCTCTTCTGTGTAAATTATTAATTTAACACGCCTTATCCTCTTCCAACAACCTTGTTAGAGCAACTCAGGAGTGGAGAGGTGGGAGGGGGGTGGAGGGCAGGGGGCGGGGGGAGGCAGACAACGTGGCTCATGTGCGACTCAGCAGAACCTGCGGTGCATCTCTAAGCTCTCTGGGCGTTCAGTCGTAGGGGGGCCTAATTCGCCCTGACACCTCCTTTGTTTCAGGCAGGAAAGAGCTGCATACACACAGCCGCATATTTGCCCCGCATGCACACACACTCGAGAACACACAGACATGCACAAACTTGGAGAGAAAGAGCAGAAGAAAGGGGTTTTTAGTGCATATTCATAGAATAATCATTCTAGTTGTCTGGATAAATTATTGAGAAATGGGAGTCCAGGACACGCCATGCTGGAACCGCGCTCTGTTTTGTGTGGTGCATGAACTCAAAAAAAAAAAAAAAATCAGACAAACGCAGCAAGTCATCCACTCGAAACAAGCCGATTCTAATGAGGCGGGATGGGGACGCGCATGGGAAAAATGCTCACCGTGAAGAAAACAACCGCTCTGGATATTAACCTCGAGGACTAACGCACAGAGCACCGATCGTTTGTATGTCAGTGACGTCGCTTGGTATTCTCCGAATGTAATAATTCATTTATTTAGCTCTATTATTCATGACAAAAAATACATTTATTCAAGGGGTTAGGGTGTACGATAATGAAAATTATTTTGAAGTTACGCATATACACAGTACACAAGTCTTGAAGGATTGCCTCTTTAGGTACTACGCTTTAAAAGACGGAGTTATTCATTCCAGGTAAGAGGGGTAAAAGCAGCCACTGTCAAGTCTGAGTAACATGATGTACCTACAATTTATTTAACGAATATCTTTTTATCACACATCACTGTGAAGGTAGTTTGTAGAAAAGGGCATTTGGTAAACATGAGTTTATGGTCTCAGTCTCTAGTTTCAAGTCTTCTTCAATACAGCATGATGTTCATTTAGTACATTATGGTCCATTTAGAGTCAAACAGACCATAAAGCAGGGGATGCTTTAGGGCGGGGCTACTGTGATTGACAGCTCTCTACCACAGCAAGTTAATTGAAACCTTTTTCTTGCTTAAAAATGTCTTACTCAGCGTTTGTTTGTACTTTGCTCCACTCTCTCCTGTCACTTTTGGTTGACAAAAATAACCAATGGCGACAACCAAAAATAAAAACCAAGATGATGACGTGGCAAAAACAGATAGTGCCAAAATCGAGGTTTCATCTTGACTTTAAATCTCAAAGTCCAGGGCTAAACTTAAGAGAGCGCCGACTGCAAAGCGAAACCAAAAGTGAAAAAATACCAAGCAAAACACAGCTGACACTGAGTGGGAATTTCAATGGTTAAGTTGCAGAACCACCCAGCACAGACAGAACCCTCTCCCTCTCCCCGGCTCTCTCTCTACTGTTCAGCCCCAGAGCGGGAGGTTGTTATGTCAACTCTGACAGTGCTCATTACCAGCCCCTACGCTCTGAATCGGAGTTAACAGGCTTTGGCCCAAGCAGAGGCCAGCTAGACCCGACTGGTACAATGGGATCAGTGTGTGTGTGTGTGTATGTGCATGTGCTGAGAGTTAATCACAAAACGCTCTTTCATTTCCAAATCACACCCCGAGGCCACTGTACATTACACAGCCTCTGATACCCAAATGCACAACGACACATCTCCGGCTTATTTTCCTGTTCACTCACAAACTCCTCCGTACGAGGGCTGATCACAGCGACCCGCTGCCAAGCAGCTTCTGTTTCATCACATCTCTCCGTGAGTGATGTTTGGATCAGCTCCAAGAGTTCGCACATTGGACAATTCTGTGGTTTGAATGATGAAACATACCTTGGTTATTCTCATGGTGCAATCTGTTAGCATATGTTAGGACACATTTGTGACGGCAGGCATCTCTAGTTTATCTCAGTAAAAAGTACCACGCTGTATAAATACTCATGTAAGAGTACAAAGCATTAGCATCAAAGTATACTGAAAAGTAACAAAAGTAAAAGTATTTCAGAATAATGTATATCGTTGGAATACAATTATTAATGTGTTCATCACTTAAATGTTGCAGCTGGTAAAGTAGGAGCGAATATGAATGACTTAATATACTGCTGGTTAGCCTAATCCCCTAGAATACATCAACAATGATTAGCTAACTTATAGTTATATTTTTATATTTTGTATTAATAATCTCAATGACTTAAGTCTAAATAAATGTAATGAAGTAAAAGAGTACAATAGTCCCGTCTGAAATGTAGAGGAGTAAAAGTAGCATAAAATGGAAATACTCAAGTAAAGCACAAGTACCTCAAGTCTGTGCTAAAGTACATTACTTTACTAAATGTACCACTTGTACGTCTATAAAAACGGGCTGCAGGTTACTTCTCTAATGGTCATGGCATCAATAATGACGTCAGTATTTTGCTTTCAGAAGTAAACAAGTAGAAAGAAAGAAAAAGGAACATCAAGCCGTCTCTAGTCTGTCCCCAGAGACAGAGTGTAACGGTCACACAGTCCTAAGCTTGTCTGGTCTCCTGCTGCTATCAGATGTTCCCACAGGCCTCGACAGTGGTGCCCCCCCTCTCTCAGTCCAGTAACCAGCTAGCAATGTCAATGATTACACTTGTGATTAAAGCTTTCCACTTCAAACGGGCCTCGATATGGCGGCAGGGATAAAGAGCTGTGCGTCTGACGCGTGTTTGTTTGTTTGCCTGGATGTCATTACGCCCAGGCTCTGTGGACATGCCAGCGTAATGACACACAGAATGCCACTCTCCACATTACACCCCCTCCTCCACCTACATTGGGCCTATTTGTGTTGCTTTACATTGTCGCTTTACATTCAGAGGGAGAGCGGTTTTTAGGCAGAGGTGGTGGGGATGGATTTATTTCTTCGAGGCTTACTTGGGAACGTTGGTGGTTTTGCAACAGGCACTGGAAAAAAATGTCCAATTTCCAGGTCAGTGTTTTGTTGGATGAAAAGTCTTCAAATGTCTTAGCAACAGTGTATCGACTAGCACTACTACTGTACGTCTAAGTCTGGGCATGTCCTGTACATCACTGTATAAACAAACTGCTTTTTCCATAATATATATATTTTTTATTTCTAGGCAGAATGAGAAGCATAAAAGTGTGAGGTGTCCCACAGCTGCAGCAGCGCAGCCTAAATTAGACCCGGACCACATGAAAAGCTGTCGTCTCTATTCCAGGCCGGGGCGGGAAAATTACAGCCCTGCTCTCTCTACTCTAGCATTAAACCTCAATTAGTGCACAACTACACCGGTGATGTCATCACCGAGGGACTCAGGAGCCTTGAAAATGAGGGGTGTTTTGCTTAACGGCGAGAGAGGCGCCCGTAACCGAACCGCCTCGAACCTTCAGGTTCCTCTCCGAGAGGCTCGGCGGCGGAGACGACGGCTGCAGGTTCCAGCCAGCTGGCAAGAGACCGGGTGATGTTCTTTTGACGCCGCCTGAAAAAACAAAAAGCACTAAAAAACACTGTGGCCACGTTGGGATTAAAATTCTTCGTGAATTTAGCCAGAGTCGTGACTGGAGTTTTCCCAAGAGACGAGAGGTCAGTGAGGTAGGGCCTTTTTGACCTCCAGTGACCTGGCAGGAGACAGAGGAGGAGGAGGAGGTGTTTCTACTGCCCATTCCTCAGAAAACCACCTCTATTACACAACAGACTCACATAATCATACGCTGAAGAAATATTACTTGCTGCAGACTTTAAGCTAAGCCTGAAAAATGTTGTTTCTTTATATCTATTACAACTTGGGTCTTATTTTCATGAAATTGGCCTTCTTCTACTGAGGATACGGTCTGGGTTTTATTCCATACATATGCCTCATTTTCACTGCATGTTGTGGCTCTGCTCAGCTCCACTCACTGACTACGTTTAAATGCACAAAATATTCAGTTTTTTTTCCCCTTATTCCCAAAAAGTGGTCACGGTGCTGGGTCGTGCACCTCTGATTTTTTGTAACTTGGACCACGCGACTGTCACAAATAGTTCAGCCGCTTTGCTGTCAAAGAAGCATCAGTGTGGGCTGGATTCTCAGCTGATCGCCGTAGCAACGCCATGTGAAACTGCCGTGACATCACTTTCAACGGATCTCAGTAATTACTTTGCGGAGTACAACATCATAACCGATTGGAATGATGGTGAAAAATAGTAAAATAAGTCTATAATATGTAATGTAATAAACGTGGATTATCCATGAACGGCGCTCTAGGTTTCCAACAGGAACATAAAAGCCTGAAAAGAGCACTCCCTGGTTGGTTATTGTAGTCTAATGTAGTCCCTCTTGCTGCGGGGTCACCGTTCCTTCATGTCGTACAAAGGAGGGAGCGACTTCAACGAAGGCTCAGCATGGGAACGCTCCCAGGCACCACCTCGTACCTTTCTCCTCTTTGTAACACAGAGAGCCGATCCCCACACGGTGTGAATTATGCATCGCGGCTCCCAGCAACTTCTCACCGGGTTGTTCAAGCGAGCTGCCCGAGGACCACGGGTCCTCTTCGGCATACCTCCACCTGAAGAGACGAATCGCTCTCACATCTTCAAAGGAGAAGTCAATCACGCCATAGATTGTGAGTACCACCCAGTGGGTTTACAAAACTTTCACTCTCTCTCTCGCAGGTGCAGAGAAAGGGGATGGGGCCCTCATTTCTCAGAAAGTGGAACAGGATTTTTTTCTCTTTTTTTTTTTTTTTAGAGCCAAGCTCCGACAAAAACTTTCGAGCAGAGGGTGGGTGGGGGCGGTTGAGATCAAAAGCCTGCAAGTTTCTGGCGAGCGGACCCAATCAGCCGAGAGGGCCAAGGAGAGGAGGAGAGACAAGCGCTTCCCTTTTAAATTGATCCCACTGAGACCCTCAAGGTTCCCCTCGCAGGACTCGCAGAAAAGCGATAAAAATCTGGCCCTGTGGATCTGACGAGGAACTGGGAGGGGAGAAGGCGAAGAAGAAAGATGGTTTTCAAGGGAGGGGGGGGGGGGGGGAAGCACAGAAAGAACAGAGGGGAACTGGTAGGGGGAGGGTGAGGGAGAGGAGCCGGTTGAGGCAGATCAAGGGAAGATGAGGGAGACGAGAGGGGTGGGCTCGTCCTCCGAGGGCGCATCCAGGGATCGCTGTGTGCCAGCGAAGAGACCCGGAGCAGGGAGGGCCGGCGCTATCAGCCATCAAGCCTGTGTTACACGTCTGATGATGTGCTCAACCAATCAACCGCGGGTGTATCTCTATTCTGCCCAGGTCCTTGGCAGCCGAGACGTTGGACAGGTTCGCGCTGGCCTGAGATCAGACTCTGGACGAGGCTGGTGTCGTTATCCGCAGCATGTTGGGGCCCTCAAAGGAACAAGCGCTATCAGAGCAACCCAGAGACCCAGCAGCCTGCCAGACACACCGCAGACCTGCCCAGCCACCAACAGCAGCACAAACACACAATAAAGCCCCCCCCCCCCCCGTGTGTGTCTGTGTGTGTTCGCTCCAATTCCACGGATGTATTTTGCGGTGCAAAATGAAGCCATTATTACCGGGGCTCCCCAGTCAAAAGAGGTAACGTCTGTCAAACGTCAAGACTGAAGCCAGATGAGCAAATAATCTCCTGCAAATGAAATCAAGTGGGATTTAAAAATACATTTGCATCCTCTCAATCCCATTCACCTACTGTAGCTTTGATATTATAAATTCCACATCTTTCTCATGACTTTTCAAAGCAGGGTTGGACCATTTCCATGACCTAAAACTATGATTTTCTTCTGGTTTCTTAATGTTGTTTGTCTTCTCAGAACGTGCTGACAACAAAATATATCAAAATAGCTGTAAAACATAATCGAATTCGATTCGAAACACGTTGTGAGTGTATTCTTGTATTTCTGCAAAAAGGACCTTGCTCTTCATAACAAAAGGCCTGGATATTCATATTTGGGTTTTTTTCCTGAATATGGTTTTATGACATTATATTTCAGAAATTTAGGAAACATCCAGAACACTTTTCAAAAGGGAGAGTTCAGAAGGTCAAAGGTCCAATGCTACTTGTTCTCAACCTGTCACTGCGAGGCCTAGCAGATGAGGTCTCATCGACGGTCGGGGCAGTATGTCTCGTTGAGCTGGATCTCTTTACTGGGCATGGAGACCGAAAGTAGCACAGCATGAAAAAAAAAAAGTAAAAAAAGCAAAAGAAACACCGTTGCCTGATGCATTGGGGTCAGTTGTTCTGTGCACAACCAAGTGCAACACGGTGAAGGTCTTCTTCAAGGAGAGACCGCATACAGGCGTGGAAAAGAACTAGTTCATATGATGTGTTGACCGTGTGAGGGGTAACAGCCGGCCGTCAATTGTAAAATGTGATCGTCAGATTGTCAGTTTCAGAGAGGTACAAAAATTGACGGACATCACCTAACTTTGACTCTGGAAAGGTGTGGGGTACCATCTGACAAGCAGTTCTGTTGAAGTATTCTAGCACCTTTATCTCACTTTCTACGATCCATTGATGAGAGACAACAAAGACAATCCAAAGAGCTCTTGGAGAGAGATTGGAGAGGCAGTGCGATGCGGTCTGTGTGACGGCAGGCTTTTTGCAGCACATTCAACTTTGGGCATTTTGAACAGCTACAAAAAACTTTTGCCTTTAGACGCATTTTACAAAACTAGATCGTTCCAAGCATGCGTAACATGTAAAAAGAGGAGGGTGGTGGGAGGGGAAATCAGAGGGGACTGCTACACCAAAACAAAAACAGCAGGCACTTGGTCAAAAGGAGAACTGGCAGGCTAATCGCCGGCATAATAATCCTGCGTTATGATCCGAATGAATATTACAGTAGTGAATGAATAAAGAGTGTGATTATCAGCTACTCTGGTAGCAGCACAACTCCGCTCTGTGACTGTTGCAGGCTACAGTGAGCCAGCCTAGCTGTCGTGATGGATAGCCGGTGCTGAGCATGAATAACTTAGGTCCTCATAAATAAGCGGATCTCTACTAATATCATTAAAGTAGCCCCGAGGGCTGACACGCCTCCTTTATCCCTGTGCACCACCTGCACCAATCAGCCTCCTCTCCCCGTGACAAACGCCCTGAAATCATGGGACTATTCAGCGTCAATATTTTTTGTCATTTCATTCAGCTGATTCTCCAGACAGGGCCATTCATTTAACAGGCTGAATGGTAATTGGCAGGAGAGGGCGAAATTCTAAGTTACGTGACCGCAGCTCGGTTGCCACAGGTAACCTTTTTGGAGGGACTTAGCGTGGCAAATTGATTGCCGAGAGCGCAGACTCATCACGAGTGCTAATTTTCAGAAGCAGTGCACGGCGGAGCTGGGAAAATAAGAGGCTCTATTTATAACAGAGGGGAAGGGGAAGGGGAGAGGGGGGGGATTAGCTGGTCATTAGAATAAAGAGCGCAGAAGAAGAATCAATTTCAGGGGTTTAAAAAGCTGACAAACACAGTTGACTTATTCTTTCTCTCCCTCCTCCTCTGGCTCTCAGCTCACCTTTTGACTGAGCAGCCTACGGCCTACAAGATACGGAGGCAAATGTTTGAAGGATTTCAGCCTTCACGATAGCTCTTTTACGCCGAGCCTAATTAGGGGACTATTCAACGACACAACAGCTTGAAGATGATAGTGAGTTGTCCTCATACACCATAAGACTGGTGACAATTATAGCTACCAATTTCTCAAAAACATCATATCACTAATTTCTTAATTTGAGAACAATAAATCAATTTACTCCCTGTGGATTAGATTAACAAATAGAACTGATTGTTTGTGAATTGTCTCGATGTATATTAGTCAGTATGTGGTTTGTTTTGCTGTGTGAAGAACCAAACGATCACAAACATCCAGGTAATCCGAGCAAGACCGTCACCACCACTACATCTCTGTGACCACGCTGTATCCAAAGTCAATGCTCAATGCTGCACTCGTTATCAGAGGCTGCATTTGTGTAGAGAAGATGGGGCCCCTCGTTATGTTAGCAATGACACATTTTAAAATGCTAAAGATGGCGACACACCGACTGGCTTTAAGGACAGATCATACAGGTGGGGACAGCAGCAGCAAGACATCATCCTTTTCACCATTGGCTATCCACCTGGTCTTTGTACTGGTTGGAAAAAAATAGTTTCCCAGCATGCCTTTGGGAACTAGACCAGGAAGGAAGCTTGGGGCTGATTTTCAGGCAGAGAGACGAGCTGTTTACCCTTCCATCCCCTCACCCTCTGACCCGGGCCTTCATGTGCCCGCTGTATAACCTGGGCAAGTCTCGGGGACAGGAACCACACAGGAAACCTACGCAACTCGACACGAACAGGAACTCGCACATAAGAGGGGGGTGTAAACTTTTTCCACCAACCAAACTCCGCAGCTAAGGAGAGTTTCCGAGGCACTGGTGCTTTTCTCTTTTCAGCCCGCGCTAGGCTCACGTGGAGGAGCTAAGCTGGCTGTGGGAGGCAGCAGCGGAGGGATTTATCATTCAGAAGCAGGCCTCCAAAAGCAGGGATAACCTGAAGACAGCCTCCCAGTGTCGCCTGCGGAGGATGCTGCCAAAGCTCTTCAAATGACTGATACAGTAATAGGAACACCTATTCAATTAATACACAACGGCGGACAGCAACACTGAACTCTCCGATCCGCTTACAGAACATCTAATAGCATACGGGGAGGATGGATATTGTGCTAATTTGTCTTGTCTGCGGAGCGCTCTGACAGCCCCATTGATGCCTGCGTCTTTTTAACATGAGGTTAGTGGGTGTTTGGCCTCCCCTCCAGTCGTTTGTGAGCTGCAGAGCCTGGAAATGATTAGGCCTGGGAGGGCAATTAGCCTGAGCAACGCCGGGCTAAATATAGTCCGGCTTGGCCCAGCTCTGCCCCTGGGTCACATCCACACCGCAGTCTCCACACAGGCGTGTTAGTTCAATCTGGATCCCGTTTGTTTCATGACTGATGCGAAGGCCCCGCTGACTCAGGCGAGATACCATAACTCAGCCGTCGATCAGCTGTCTCGGGAGGGAAGGAAGTGAAGTGAGTGGGAAGGAGCCGTGGAAGAAAATATAAAAGAGGTGACGTTTTAAAAGGGAAGCACGTGTTAACCTAGATATCCAGAGAGTCAGAGAAGCACCTTCCTGAAGTTGACTGACTCGTATTTATTTATTCCCTCGCACTTTAAATGGGTCTACATGCCGGGCCTGGCTTTTTCACGATCAAACCTTCAGCTCGAGCACAGCCTTACTTCCCGAGAAACGCTGTGTCAAACGAACCATGGTTGGGAAAACATGCTTTCCCACAGCCTTACACCAACCGAACGGAATGCAAAGAAAAAAATGCTTTCCCATCCCATGTCTCCCTGCCCCTCCAGTCCCCGTATCTCCCACCCCCTGTGAGAATTTCTTTTTTAGAGATTTTATCCTTAAAAACAGGAGGTTCGCCCACTCGTTCACCTGGGACGGCTCTTGGACGGCGGAGGCAAGCTAGAAGGTTATAGGAGCCTGGGAATGTTTAACATCAAGAAAGCAATCAGAACATAGCCGGAGCTCTGGGAATTGGACAGGAAACATGGAGAGTAACCCTTTCCTGCCTGAGAGGAAAGAGAAGAGGAAGTGATTTGGGTTATGTGACGAATTTCGGCTGCAACCTGAAAGGCAGCCCGTTGGCATTAATAGGTATACTAGATTTTTACAAAGGCTTAATTTAGCACGACTTTTTTTAAGAACCTGAAAAGAAACAGTTTCACTTCTCTTGAGAGTAACACTTTTTTGATCTCTACCTACATCCTCGCTCAGAAAGGTGATGTGTGAAGACCCAGGGCTCAAATGTGATACAAGAAAAGCACTGAAAAAAAAAAAAAGGTAGTGGCCTCTAAACTCAACATCCGCTTGAATTTTCCCATCACAGTCTCGACCTGGTGTGTCTTCCGACAGAGCGTATGGACCGAGGTGAAACATAAGTGGAAATGTTCCGGAGCTGCACTGAGCTCAGCACAAATTGCACAGGA